TATGTGGTTTCATGGCTGATCATTTTGCACTGAACAACCAACAAGGGGGCTCATCCCTGGGAGGGGCTAATTTTCCTTCTCCCAACTTTCACTGGTTCTTTGTGGAGAGGTGGGATGCTGTGAAAAATTCCCCCTTCCACATCAGCATGTCCACTGATAGTGCCATTGTTCCAGTCTTGTTTATGCAGCATTTCTAGGGGAGGCCTTTTCTTATTTTCTTTCTTTCCTCCTTTTTTTCTTTCCTTCTTTCTTTCTTTTGCTTTATCCCTGGAAATTTTTATTGAGAATATCATACATGTATGTCACATATTTTGATCAAATCCAACTCCCAAACTCTTCATCCAGTTCTTCCCCTATACCACCAGTACTAAAAATTCCCAATTTAATATCTAATCTGTGATTAAAAAACACATACTTAACTAGATTTTTTTTCTTCCAGTGTGATCTACTACATGGGTACTCCTGAACATTTGAAATTTTTTTTTTGAATTGGGGCTTAGTTAAAAAAACAAAAGACATTTTGGGAAAAAGATGCAAACGAGAAATCCTACCCTAGAGGTCAGAAAGGAAAAGGCCTTTATAGTGACTGTGATTTTTCCCTTGGTGCTGTGATAGATGGGGTGGAAAGTCATCCAGACACTGCAGAACACCAGGTCACAAATTTATCTTCATCAAGGGTGTCAGCAAAAGTGAAGCTTCCTGTGCCAGAGAGCCCAGGCACAGAACACACCAAAACACAATAGAAAATAGTGATTGAGACCTTGGCCAGAGAGCCCAGGCATCCCAGAACACAACAGAGCGCAGTGTTGAGACCTTGGTGCACAGAATGATGACGTGACCATGTTGAGGATGTACATCTGGGTCAACAGAAGAAGGAGCTGTTCCTCACAGATCCCAGAGAGGGTAAGTTGGACCACCGCACAGATGGGAAAGATGACACTGGGGCACCTGCCATCTTTCTTCTGGAACCAGTGAGCTGGAGAGCCAGGAGCATGGTGATGGTTTGGCCAACACGTTGGAAGGAACCACAGAAAACAGAATTCTGAAAGAAGTATCCTGTAAGACATAAATGACCACTTTGGGAAGTCCAGTGTATAGAGGGAGGAGAGAAAGCAGAATGTGAGCGAGAAGAGCAGACTGTAGTTGAGAGTTGTGTTATTGGCCTTCATATTTGGAGTATTTTTGTGCTTAACAAACTCCCCAAGAACAAGCCCTGTTGCTGAAGAGAACAAGGCCATGCAGGTTAGACCCACCCCAAGGTATTGTCATAAACCAGAAAGGTCACAGCATTTGCAGGTAGTGGTTTTGCTCTAAGGTGCATAGAGATCCTCTAGATGTTCACACAATCATTTCTAATCTGACGTGGAGAAAAAGATAATCAAGAAAATTTAGCAGAATTTAGCAGAAGACAGAAAAGATGTATTGGGGAAATGATAAGAATATTTGCCTTCTTACAGGAATAAATAACTATTAAATTGTTGTGTTGCAATTTTTTTCTTTCATAGATTTTCTCATACACTACATCCTGATTACAATTTCCCTCCCTCTACTCCTCCCAGTTCATCCCCACCTCCCCACCTATCCGAATCCATTCCCTCTCTGTAGGAGATGCTGTTTCACTGTGGACTTCCTGGCTATTAAAATCTTAATATTTCTAATGACGACCATTCATATGAAAACCCTTGCCATTTGGGCAGTCCTGCTGTTGCGTCTCTGGCTGACATCTACTGGCCTTGACTAAACAAGTGTTCTGTTATTGCACACAGGAGAAGCATTTGTATATCGTGTGATGGCTAATCTTGGTTGTTAGCTTGACCACATCTGGAATCAACTAGAACCCAAGCAGCTGGGCACTCCTGTGAGGGATTATTATTGATTAGATCATTTGGAAGAGCCACCCTAAATCTGGATCTTTTGCTATATGAAGACTGATCCTAGGCTGGACGGTGGTGGCACATGTTTTTAATCCCAACAGTCAGGAGGCAGAGGCGGGTGGATCTCTGTGAGTTCGAGGCCAGCCTGGTCTACAGAGATAGTTCCAGGACAGGCCCAAAGCTACAGAGAAACCCTATCTCAATAAATAAATAAATAAATAAATAAATAAATAAATAAATAAATAAATAAATTAAAATTAAAATTAAAATTAAAAAAAAAAAAGGACTGGTCCTAAATCTAGTTTACAACTTTTGGCGCCAGCCCTCTAAAGGACATGGAAGAAGGAAGTTTTGGCTTTTTGCCTGCTTGCCCTCACTTTCCCTGGCAAGTTTGTCTATCCTTCTGTTGATGCATTTCTTCATTGGTATTAGAACCTACTTCTTTAGGATTTCAACATATACTGAAGGTCAGCTGAGACATCCAGTCTCATGGACTAAACAACGGTTAGGTTCTTGGCACTTCCATTAGGAGAAAGCCATTGTTGGGCCAGCCAGGACACGGTCTGTAAGTTGCTCTAATACATCCCCTTTTAATATGCAGGTAGATTTGTTCTATAAATTCTGTTCCTTTCAGAACCTTGTCTCATACAATGAGTCTGTTTGTAGTGATATTTCATTTGAATTTGAATAAGTAAGCGTGCCTGAAGATCAGAGAGTAAAATAGCCTCATCGGTCAGCCTTACAGACTAGGCAGTGGTGGCACACACCTTCAAGCCCAGTAGTCACACTAGTTTGCCATAGAATCTGGGCAGTAGTGATACACACCTTTAATCTCGATGCTAGAGAGGATTATAAAATGGGAGGAGATAGTTCTCAGACACAATCTCATTCTGAGATTCCTGGAGGCAGGATCACCATTTGGACAAAGGTAGCCATAACAGTCAGTGGCTGGCTACTTTGTTTTTCTGACCTTCAGGTTGAACCTTATTATCTGTCTCTGGGTTTTTATTAACTGTGCTACATCTGTTTATGGCCCCTAGTGCAATTCATTAATTTTAAAAAGAGATTGGGGGTTTTTATTTTTGTAGGTCTATGATTGAGGCAAAGATTCTTTTTTTTAGGTTTATTTATTTATTATGCACACAGTGCATGTATGTATGTCTGCATGCCAGAAGAGTACACCAGATCTCATTACAGAGAGGTTGTGAGGCACCAGGTGGGTGCTGGGGGAATTGAACCTGGGTAGGTCCTCTGAAAGAGCAGCCAGTGCTCTTAACCACTGAGCCATCTCTCCAGTCCAAGGTTGTTTTTTGTTTTGTTTTGTTTTGTCAATTTGATGCACACTAGAGTTATATTGGAATCTCCAACTGTCTAGGTAGCCAAGATGACCTTACATTTCTGATCCTTCTGCCTCCATCTCTGGAGTGCTGGATTATACATGTGTGTCAACAGATCATGTTTATGAGGTACCAGGGATTGAAGCCAGGGCTTTGCATGTGCTAAGCAAGCATTCTATCAATTGAGCCACAACCCGGTCCCACTTTCATATTGCTGGTTTGGGCAGTGCTGAACTAATTGGGACAACAGAATTCTGCCCAGGACTCTGATTGGTTTTGTTTTGAAGCCTGTCTTGGCACTTGCTGTGGACCAGGCTGGCCTCAAACTCACAGCAATCTGCCTGCCTCTGTCTCTCAAGTGCTGGGATTAAAGGTGTACGCCGCTATCGCCCGGTCTTTTGATTGGCTTTTAAAAGCCTCCCCTTATCTTGACATAGATTCAGACCGATTATGAGAACCAAGGGGATTAATATATGTAAAATATATTGAAAGGGGTCTGGCTCCCAACAACAGCTATGTGTTAGACATTCTTAGAGTCATTTTATATATATTGATAAAGATTTAGTAAAGTAAGTTTTTCTCCACTTTTAGTAGTTCTTTGAGTTTCATACAATTTGTTTCATCCCTATTCACTTCCTTCCCCGACTCCTCCCAGATCTCCCCTCCTTTCCTACCCATTCACTTTGTGTCCTTCCCCACTTCACGCATCAAGGCTAAAATAACATTTAACTAAGAAATGTACCAAGAAAAATAAAGTTGGCCCTGTCGATTTGGGATAGAGTTTGTGATAGAGTCCGTGTTTAGTGTGTACCAGGTCCTGGGTTCCACCCAATACCTATCTGCACACATAAAGAAAGAAGAAAGGGCTTTTTTCTTTAAAAAGAGAATTTAAAGTGATCTACAAAGCCTGGAGAGATAGCTCAGTATTAAGAGCATTGACTGGTCTTCAGAGGACCTAGGTTCAATTCCTAGAACTCACGGGGTGGTTCACAGTCATCTGTAATTCTGGTTCTAATGGATCTGACACCATCTCCTGTCTTCTGAGGACACTGGACATGCCCGTGGTACACAACACGTGAATGAAGGTAAAATACCCATACAGATGAAATGAATAATTTTTAAAAAATATTTATTCATTTATTATGCATTCAATATCTGCCTACATGTGTGCCTGCAGGCCAGAGAGGGCACCAGATCTCATTACAGATGGTTGTGAGCCACCATATGGTTGCTGGGAATTGAACTCAAGACCTTTGGAAGAGCAGGCAATGCTCTTAACCACTGAGCCATCTCTCCAGCCCCCTGAAATGAATAATTTTAAAAAGTTGATTTGAACAAAACGGAAGAGATTCTGTGATCAACGCCGCCACCCTGAGCTGTGATGGCAAATAAGCTGAACAATTGTCTTGGCACACAGTATAAGGAAAATCAAAAAAAAGAAAAAAAAAACCTCCGAAATTAAGGTAAATACCATTTTGATACAACATTTTAATTAAAATTAATGTAAAAATCCATTATGATCAAAATATAAACATGGTTTATTAAGATAGGAGAGATGTTACTGGTTTCTGTCTCTGCCCTAGAATCCAATACAGCTTCTAAAGACACCATTAATGACTCTGCTTCAGTTGTGGTGTGTTTGTCCCGCCTGCGCCCGAATTTAGCTGAGGATGACTGCTCGTGGCTGATGGAGGAACAGACTGGGACTGATTTGGCACCCCAAAAGCCCCCCCCCCCCCCCCCTCGCTCCTCGGTCTCTTCTTCCGTGTTTGCGTGTTGCGTGCGTGTGACCGAGAATAAAGGAAAGGGAAGAAGTCCCTGGTGCTTGGGAAGAACCAAGTCGCACAGCCTCCTGGGAACCAAGAAGACAGTACTGTGTCTCTTCCCAGGATGCCTTGCGAACAAGAGGTGGCGCGGGATCCAGAACCGTTGCAGTGTTCTGGCTGCAAGTGTTTACCTGGCTCAGAAAAGCTGCCATGGACCCCCAGAAGAACAATCATAGCGTCACCAGTAATCAGGACACCGTGGGCTTAAGTATCCACAGCACCTCGGACACCCTGGTGGTGACTTCGTACCTCTTATTGGTTCTGTTCTTCGGGCTGTGGGTATGGCGGGACCCCTGTGCTGGTGTGGCGCTTCCCCGCAGAGACCTGGCCTCCACCTAGCATCCTGGCACTTCAGAGAGGATGACCTTGCCTACCCTTTGTCTAACCTTTCCTCTCCCTTCCAACCAAGCACCAGCTACTTAGGCAACAAAACCATTCTGGACCATTATCCCTTCCTATTCCTATACCCATCCCCCACCCTGAAATGATAGTTAAGTAATTCAAATGTGCCTGCTCCTGCCACCTAGAACCCTTAATGGTATTTTGAAAGTCCTTGTGAGACTCACGATGATGACATCAGCTAGCGCCAACGTACACTCTGAACTCTTGCCAGGACTTCCCCATCTGCAGATCTAGCCAATCATGCTGAAAGTATTTTTTCTTTTTTTTTTTCTTATTGATATTTATTGAGCTCTACATTTTTTCTCTGTTCCCTTCCCTGCCTATCCCCTCCCCACTTCAACCCTCCCCCAAGGTCCCCATACTCCCAATTTACTCAGAAGATCTTGTCTTTTTCTACTTTCTACTTCCCATGTAGATTATATTTATGTAAATCTCTCTTAGTGTCTGCATTGTTGTCTAAGTTCTCTGAGATTGTGGTTTGTAGGCTGGCTTTCTTTGCTTTATGTTTAAAAACCACCTATGAGTGAGTACATGTGATAATTCTGTGTCTGGGTTACCTCACTCAAAATAATGTTTTCTAGATCCATCTATTTTCCTGCAAAATTCAAGCTGTCATTATTTTTTTCTGCTGTGTAGTACTCCATTGTGTAAATGTACCACATTTTTCTTATCCATTCTTCGGTTGAGGGACATTTAGGTTGTTTCCAGGTTCTGGTGACAAACAAAACTGCTATGAACATGGTTGAGCATATGTCCTTGTGGCATGATTGAGCATCCTTTGGATATATACCCAAAAGTGGTATTACTGGGTCTTGAGGAAGGTTGTTTCCTAATTTTCTGAGAAATCACCATACTGACTTCCAAAGGGGTTGTACCAGCTTACATTCCCACCAGCAATGCAGAAGTGTTCCCTTTACCCCACAACCTCTCCAGCATAAGTTGTCATCAGTGCTTTTTATCTTGGCCATTCTTACAGGTGTAAGATGAAATCTCTTAGTTGTTTTGATTTGCATTTGTCGGATGACTAAGGATGTTGAACATTTCCTTAAGTGTCTTTCAGCCATTTTAGATTCCTCCGTTGAGAGTTCTCTGTTTAGGCCTGACTCTATTTTTTTTTTTTTTTGGATTATGTGATCTTTTGGTATCCAATTTCTTGAGTTCTTTGTATATTTTGGAGATCAGACCTCTATCTGATGTGGGGTTAGTGAAGCTCTTTTGCCCTTCTGTAGGCTGCTGTTTTGTCTTGTTGACCATGTCCTTTGCTTTACAGAAGCTTTTCAGTTTCAGGAGGTCCCATTTATTAATTGTTTCTCTCAGTGTCTGTGCTGCTGGGGTTGTATTTAGGAAGTGGTTCCCCGTGCCAATGCATTCAAGTGTTGCTGGCTTTATGTTCCCACTTTCTCTTCTATAAGGTTCAGTGTGGCTGGCTTTATGTTGAGGTCTTTGATCCATTTGGACTTGAGTTTTGTGCATGGTGATAGATATGGATCTATTTTCTTTTTTCTACATGTTGATATTCAGTTATGCCAGCACCACTTGTTAAATATGCTTTCTTTTTTCTATTTGATAGTTTTTGCTTCTTTATCAATGATCAGGTGTTTGAAGAAGTGTGGATTGATATCCGGGTCTTCTATTCGGTTCCATTGGTCTTCCTGTCTGTTCTTATGCCAATACCAGGCTGTTTTCAGTACTGTAGCTCTGTAATAGAGTTTGAAGTCAGGGATTGTGATGCCTCCAGAAGTTCTTTTACTGTACATGATTGTTTTGGCTATCCTGTTTTGTTTTGTTTTTTGTTTTTGTTTTTGTTTTTGTTTTTTGTTTTTGCTTTTCCATATGAAGTTGAGTACCGTTCTTTTGAGGTCTTTGAAGAATTTTTCTGGGATTTTGATGGGCATTGTGTTGAATCTGTAGATTGCTTTTTGGTAAGATTGCCATTTATACTATATTAATTCTGCCTACCCAAGAGCATGGGAGATCTTTCCACTTTCTGGTGTCTTCTTCAACTTTTTTCTTCAAAGATTTAGAGTTCTTGTCATACAAGTCTTCAACTTGTTTGGTTAGAGTTACTCCAAGATATTTTATGCTATTTGTGGCTATTGTGAAGGGTGTTGATTCTCTGATTTCTTCCCCAGCCCTTTTATCATCCGTGTACAGGAGGGCTACTGATTTTTTTTGAGTTAATCTTGTATCCTGCTATGTTGCTGAAAGTGTTTATGAGTTGTAGAAGTTCCTTGGTAGAATTTTTGGGATCACTTATGTAAACTATCATATCAATGCTGAAAGTATTTAAGATTGTACTGGATACCTAGAATTATTTACAGTAATTATTACAACACCTAACTTATAATCTAGAGGCAATGTAAAGCACACAAAAGGATGTACTGGAGGTTATATCCAATATTATATGACTTTTATGAAAGAAATTTGAGCTGAAAGAGTCTAGGAACGAATTCTCCATGCATGTGAAGGCCGGATCTACAGTGACCTGAACTGAGATTCCGAAAGGTTGAGTAAGAAGCAGAAGATAGTGGCGCTCAGATGCAAACATAGAGCTGTCTGGCATGTGATGGACTTGAACATCCTTGGAGTTTCGTATCCACAGGGGCTCCTGGAACTACTTCCCCACCAACGCCAAGGGGTGGGAGCACAGGATCTATTCCAAACAGGAAGGGGAATCCTGGACGCACATCATAACACTCAAACCGACTTCATTGACCTCAGCCATGAACAGTCTGTTTCCAGGTGGCAGGGATTCTTAGTCTTTGAGCTTCAATTCTGGGGTCCTTTTTCCAATGCTATGATTAGGAAACTCCCAAATCACTCTTTACCTTACCTGGGTCCATGTCTGGCCAAGATTTGAGAACCAGTAAACCTGTTGCTCCTGGAGCTCTGGGAGACCTAAAATACGGATGGATGTCCGGCATGTTTTGATTCCCTTCCTTCTTTATATTTATTTGTCCTTGACAGGATCTCACTGTCTATCTCTGGCTGGCCTGAAACTCACTATGTAGACCAAGTTGACCTCAAACTTACAGAGATCCACCTGAGTGTTAGGATTAAAAGCATGTGCCACAACACTGGACTTTTGTTTGTTTTAAATGAAAAAGAATCCTATACTGTCATTAGTTACCACATGCTTTAACCTTTAGTGTAACAAGCAAAATGTATAGAGCGACTTGAAGAATAACTTAGTTTTCTTCTCTCGTCCATCTCATCTTTCTGAGGTCACCAGACCTGGCATCTTTTCTCGATTTTCTCAGCACTTGGGCAAACATACAGACACATAATGTGTATTCTGCATATTCTTTTTACAACGGGATCAAATTGCACATTAGTTTGCAGAAGCTCTCTTTCCCTACTAGTGTATTTGGAGAGTCCCACACACCAACAACACTTAGAGACCTAGCTTGAACTTAATTAGCTGCAGGATAGTAAGACCAACATGTACTATCCAGCTCTTCTCTGGGAATGGTACGCCACCAGAGTATTTCTGTTTCAGGCTCTTCTGTCACATAGGCGTGGTACAGTAAAAGACTTCTTCCTGGCTGGCCAAAATCTGCCATGGTGGTTGGTGAGTAAACTTGTATATGGCTGTCTGTTTGGGGGCTTTCTGTGTTGGCTTGGTTTTTGTTTTTTGTTTTGTTTGCTTGTTTGTTTCAAGACAGGATTTCTCTGTATAGCCCTGTCTGTCCTGAAACTCACTCTTTAGATCAGGCTGGCCTCAAATTCAGAGATCCACCTGCCTCTGCCTCCTGAGTGTTGGGATTAAAGGCTTGTGCCACCACTGACTGGCTGTATTTGCCTTTTTATTATTTTAACTTATATGTCTTAAATCCAAAATAATTTGAAGTTGCTAGATCAGGACTTTCTTCCTCTTCCTTTTCCTCTCCTCCTTCTCCTTCTTCTTCTCTTTCTATGTAGCCCAGGCTGACCTTGAACTCCCAGTCTTCCTGCTTTAGCCTCCTGAGTGCTGGGGTAACATTTGGTGTGATAAACCAATTTCATTTAGTAGGTGATTTATTTAATGGCTAAGTAATTTCACATCAAGGTGCAGAAAGGAAGTCAGCTGCCCCTTAGAAATTCTAATTGTATGTGCGTATGTGTGTGCAGGTGTCTAAGTGCCTGTGCACATACGTAGGCCAGAGAAGGACCTTGAGTGTCCTGCTTCATTATTCTTTGCCTTACTCAGCGACACAGGGCATGTCACTGAACCTGGAGCTAGACTGGTGGCTCATGAGCTCCCAGCAATTCTCCTGTCTCAGCTCCCCACAGTGTAGAGAGGCACAGCAACCACTTCTGTTTTTCTATGCAGGTGTGGAGGTTTGAACTTGGGACCTTGTGCTTTTACAGCCAGCACGCACTCTTATCCACTGAGCCACCACCAGTGCAATTTGCATTTAAATTAGCTACAGTGCAGTATAGTAAATAAGTCTATTGAGAAGTACCCAGGCTAAACATAGGCAAAATCTAAACGTCGGCTTGTTGGGTTTAGCAGCACAGAAAAGATCTTTTCAAGGCAGAGTCATGCAAGTGGGATTTGAGGTGGAGCATGTCTTTTCCAGGAAGATGGAGTGTGAGACATTCTGAGCAGAGGGAACAACAGATACCAAAGTCAGTGGATTTGCATTTTCTGAACATTACTTATTTGTTTTGAGACAAGGTCTCATGTGTCCCAGGATGTCTGCAAACTCACCATGGTGCTGGTCTCCTTTAACAGCTGGCTCTTTGGCTTCAGTTCATCAGCATCGAGCATCCCAGCAACGCAGCAGTGTGACCTCAGTGGTGCTAACTGGTCTAATGTTAATCCCAGATGACTCTTCTGCCCTAGTGGAACAGATACCACAGAGTCTTGGTTTAAAATATCACACAGCTGGCCTCATAGAATCCTTGAGGGACTCTCAAACTTTCCTCTGAAACTTCACAAGCTGGAGTCATCAGAGAGGAGGGAGCCTCAGTTGAGAAAATGACTCCAGCCGGGTGGTGGTGGCACATGCCTTTAATCCTAGCACTCGGGAGGCAGAGGCAGGTGAATCTCTGTGAGTTCTAGGCCAGCCTGGTCTACAAGAGCTAGTTCCAGGACAGGCTCCAAAGCTACAGAGAAACCCTGTCTCAAAAAACCGAGAGAATGAGAGAGAGAGAGAGAGAGAGAGAGAGAGAGAGAGAGAGAGAGAGAGAATATGCCTCCATAAGATCGGGACCTTGTAGGGCATTTTCTTAATTAGTAATTGATGAGGGAGGCCCCAACTCACTCTGGGTAGGGCCATGCTTGCATTGATGACCCTGGGTTCTATAAGAAAGCAGGCTGAGCAAACCATGAGGAACAAGCCAGTAAGCAGCTCCCCTCCATGGCCTCTGCATCAGCTCCTGCTCCCAAGTTCCTGCCCTATTTTAGTTCCTGTCCTGACTTCCTTCAGTGATGAACTATGATGTGGAAGTGCAAACCAGATAAACCCTTTCCTCCCCAACTTGCTTTTGGTCATGGTATTTGGTCACAGTAATAGAAACCTCAACTAAGATGCTAGGTGAGTGCTCTATGGCTGAGCCCCTCTCTCAGTTCATAAACATGAATTCTTGTTATGTGTGACAAGAGCTCATCTTCTGCTTTTCAGTTGGGCATTTCCACTTTTTCTGCAAATATCGGCAGTGGCCACTATATGGGCCTGGCTGGGATAGGTGCAACTTCCGGAATTGCAGCTGGAGCCCTTGAGTGGAATGTAAGTAATATCTTCTGAGCTACTGACCACTTGATTGTTGTCCAAAGAAGACTCATAAACACGAAAGCTTGCTTTTAACCTCGAGTGGAAAGTATAGACGAAGGGAGTCAGGTCTTCAGTTTTACAAAAGGGCTCTGCTGTTTTTCATTCTCCTTAGTAAGTCAGGAGACAGAATGCATATATGCTGTGGATCGTAGGGAAGACAGCGAACAAAGAGCTGTTGGGTGGGGGGGAAGATCGCACTAGTGTTTAAGTGTGTGTGTGTGTGTGTGTCTACTGACATCTGCAGGCATTAATTCACTAGCGCTTAAATGTGTGTGTGTGTGTGTGTGTGTGTGTGTGTGTGCGTGTGTGAGCGTGTGCGTATATGTGTTCACTAACATCTGCAGACATTAAGTGAACCTGCATCTCTTTGGAGAGCTTGACTCCCATGGGCCCCTGCCTTAACTCTTCTGCTTTTTCTTGGTTTCAGACTATATTTATGCTCTGTATTCTTGGTTGGATATTTGTTCCCATCTATAACAAGGCTGAGGTAAGTGCCCATCATCAGTTATTCTATAGTTTGTGATTTTTTTAAAAAATAAATATCACATGTGTAGTAAAAGCATCCTGAAGGACAGATTATACTGTCAGTCTTTTGATCCTGGCACTGACTTCCCAAATCTGCAGATACTGAAAATACACCATTTTTTCTAGGGTAGACACAAGTAACAATCTGCTTCCTCAGGAATTTACAGAAAATATTTCAAAACATTATTTAAAATAAGATGTAAAGAATAGAACATATGTGTTAGTGACTAGAAGATTTAGTACCCTAAAATGCTGTTTCTTCCTGGTTGGCTTGTTCATGAGATGAAATTTCACACAAGAGCCAAACAGGGCTGTGTGAGAAGCTTGACAGACTTATTCTAAAGTCAAAACTGTAAGAACAGTGAAGGCATCGTCAAAGAAAGGCAGACCGTCTGACTAAATATTGACATTTATTAGAAAGCATTAATAGTACTATATAATATTAATTTCTGGGATAAACATGTTGCTGTGATTCAGACAAGTGTCCCCCAGAAGTCCATTGGAGCTTTCGTCATCATCCCATGGATGGAGGCAGAAACTTCAGAGATGAGGTACAGTAGGAAATCTTCTATATTTGACCTTGGGTGGAATGTTAGGACCCCAATCCATTCTTCTTTCTTTTTCTTCTGTCCATGAAGTGAATAGCTTCCTCTACCACACTCTCTTGCTATGATGCCACCACAGAACCAAAGCAATTGGCCCAATTGGCTATGGGAATGAAAATGAAATTTATGCCTGGCAATGCTGCATGCATGGGTAGCATATGTATGGTGGTTCTGTTGAACTTGTCCGTATTAGGTTTCATGGTCTGAGTTGATGAGATCAACTGACCAGGTCTCTGCCTCAAGAGGGCACCAGATCTCATTACAGGTGGTTGTGAGTCACCATGTCGCTGTTGGGAATTGAACTCAAGACCTTTGGAAGAGCAGGCAGTGTTCTTAACTGCTGAGCTGCCATGGACTATGAGCCAAAATAAGTAAACAAAATAAGTAAACAAAATAAGTAAACAAAGTATTTGTCACAGCTACAGAAAGGTGATTATGGTGCACACACTGACAAGTGGGAAAGGGGAAACACCCATACCCAATCACATTTATGGACACTTGACTTACAACATTGGTGGCATTGAAGATCACCAAGGGAAGGTGGTCAAGTTGACCATCATGTGAAAAAATAATGATCCAAATCTACACAAAGTAATTTTAGATTGGTTAAAGACTCAGTTGGGGAATGCAAACTTGCCTATGAAGGCCCCAAATGTCTCTATGTCCTTGTACTAGGGAACAATTTCTAAGTAAGATATTAAAGCCATCGGTCCCTGGCTAATCATTAAGTACACTTGTAGACAAGAGGCTGCAGGGGACCCACCCAGAAGAAGGAAGGAATTAGGAAGAGCTCAATCCTGGAATGACAGGGCTGCACCTGATATGGTGTTTTAATTGATTGTGCCTCTTTCAACTGAGTGTCTTTCTAAACCATTTGGCTGCAGAAAGCAGAAGTTTTATCAGTTCAAGGTGTCAAAGAACTTGAAAATGTTGGTAGGAAGCTCCAAAAACAAAGCCATCAATGATAAAGTTAAATTCCAAATAAGTGTATAAACCACCCACATCCTTGGTTAGCTGCTTACTGCACAGGTATGGGGGAAACTTTTAGAAGGTTGGCTAAAAGAACAAGGAAATTTGAGCTGCTGTGAATCACAGGGCTGGGCGTGTGTGTGTGTGCCGAATGGATTTGCATGTTGAGTTGAGGCTAGTTAATTGCCTATGAAAACAAGCCACAACAACCTCCAGAACAGCACAGATTCTAGATTACCACAATGCATTATTTGCTATGGCTAGTTTTCCTTTAGTAAACAGAGACCAGACATACACAGAATTGAACCACGTGCCTGAGAAAATTCAGCTGTGCTGAAATTTTGATGGGGGTTGCGTTTAATATGTGGATTGCTTTTGGTAGGGTGGCCACTGTCACTGTATTGACCCTATAGATCTGTGAGCATGGCAAAGCTTCCGTCTTCTGATGACTTTTTAATTACTTTCTTCACTCTCTTAAAGTTCTTTTTGTTATACAAGTCTTTCACTTGTTTAATTAAAGTTACCCCAACATAGTTTATTTTATATATATATATATTTTTTGAGGTTATTGTGAAAGGTATGATTTCCCTGATTTCTTTCTCAGTCCATTTATCATCTGTATATAGAAAGGCTATTGATTTGGGGGTATTAATTTTATATCCTGAAATTTTGTTGAAAGTGTTTATCAGTTGTAGTTTTCCTTTCCTATTTGTATTCCCTTGATTTCTTTCAGTTGTCTTATTGCACTAAGACTTCAAGTACTGTATTAAATTTTATTAATTTGGATTTTCTCTTTCCATTTTTAAGTTAATTGAGTTAAGAGTTTGCTGATGGTATTGATTTTTCTCAGGGAACTAACTCTTCATTTCCTTAATTCTTTGTATTTTTTTAAAAAATTACATTTTATGGACTTAAGTACTGACTTTGTGCCAGGCTATGGTGGTGCATGCCTTTATTCCCAGCACTTGGGAGGCAGAGGGAGGTGGATCTCTGTGAGTTTGAGGCCAGCCTGGTCTACAAGAGCTAGTTCCAGGACAGGCTTCAAAGCTACAGAGAAACCCTGTCTCAAAAAAGCAAAAAAAAAAAAAAAAAAAAAAAAAAAAGTACTGAGTTTGTTTATTTCTTGCTGTCTGTTCCTTTGGGGCATTATTTCTTCTTTATGTTCTAGAGCTTTGAGGTATGCTGTTAAGTTACTAATATGAGTTCTGTTCAATTTATTTTTTATTTTTTGTATGTAGACTCTTATACTATGAACTTGCCTTTAGAGCCTCCGTTGCTGTGTCCCACAAGTTTGGGGATGCTGTGTACTCATTTCTTTTCTTTGTTTGTTGGACATGATCTGCCTGAGTCCAGCTTCAGGTGGACCACATGGATCGCAGGTAGCAAGTGTTCTAGGTATTGGCAGCTGACACAAAGAAATGGGAATGGTCTAGAGGGGCCAGTGTGAGGGGGTCCACAGGAAGTGAAAATCACTTATAAAAGACTCTTAAAACTCCTTAGTAAAAAGGTTAGAACTAATATTTTAGAAAAAAACATGCCCCCCTCAAATAATCATGGGAAATAATTTTATCCTTAATGATAACAAATGCTAACTTAAAACTAAGTACGACTTCAGACTCCTAGTCTCTCATGAGCTGATCAGTGAGTTTTAGCCACACGAGGAGAAACAGGAGAGGCCCAAGAAAGACAAGGTATGCTGTATTTACCCTCAGGTTCCAGAGACAGGAGGGGCCCAGAGACAATCTGCCACACAGAACCATGTGGAAAAGACATCAGCTTCATCAGGAGGCAGAAGATGGGAACGAGATCATCCGGCCTTTGGTGGGGTCCCATGGGAAAGGCAAGGCAGAACAGAGGCAACAGCTTTGGATTGCCTGCTTTGACTAATTCCGCCAGGCTTGTGTTTCTAGTTGGCTAATACCTGTTTTGAGATAATTACAGCAGAGGTCTGTTATCTCCTGGGTGCACAGGCTGGGTAGAGGAGGCCAGGCTCTGGACTGGTTAACCTGCGGTCAATGCTAATGCTCTAGCCTGGGCCCTTGGTTACCTGTGGGGATTGGCTAATCTTGAGGAAGGCGCTGTCTTCCCAACCAGAAAGATTTAAAAACAATTTTAAATTTACATTCTTGTTTTGTTTTGTTTTATGTGTTTGAGTGTTTTGCCTATGTATATGTATGTATACTACATGTGTGCCTGGTGCCCAAAGAGGCCAAAAGAAAGCATTGGATCCCCTGGAACTTGAGTTCCAGATGACTGTGAGCTACCATGTTGATGTTGGGACCTGAACCCAAGTCCTCTGTAAGAGCAACAAGTGCACTCAACCACTGAGTCATCTCTCCAGCCCCAGAAAGATTTCTTTTAAAGATGTCAAAATATCATAAAGCAGAAAATTAAAAAAAATCTACAGTGTACACCAGAATAGCTAAGAGGCAAATAGAAGCACATGCTGTGACATATCCTATAGGCCCATCCTATAGACTTATGCTGTAGACATATCATATAGGCACATCCTATAGACACACCCTGTAGACATATCCTATAGACCTATGGTATAGACACATCCTATAGAATACTAGATTAATGCAGCTGCAGACAGAGTGTCTTTGACCAGTCTACGAGCATGATCTGGACAAATGCTTCCCTCACAGCCCTTGGAAAGAGGCAGACCTGCTGAAATCTTGAACATGTAGACTCTACAACTGAGAGACAATAGTTAGCCTGTTGTCTAAGGCACCTAAACCAGTGTTTTTCAAACTGTGGATTGTGACCCCAGGGTAAACGCCTGGTGAACAGCCCTTTCACAGGGGTCGTGGAAGACCATCGAAAACTCAGATTTATGTTATGATTCATAACAGTAGCAAAGGTACTGTTAAGAAGTAGCAACGAAAATAATTTATGGTTGGGGATTATCATGACACGAGGAGCTGTATTAAGGGGTCACAGCATTAGGAAGGTTGAGAGCCACTGTTCTAAACTGTCCTCACTTGCTAGGGAAGCCCAAACAAACAACTTAGAAGCAGCCTGGGAAGTTTAGAGCCTTGCAGGGAGGATCCTTGACTTATGGCAGAGTATGGCTTAGAGCCGAGCAAAGGCTCAAGAGAGTGAAGCCTGTGGGTGCTCAGACAAGGTCTTCCAGTCCCTGTGAAGGAAGGAGTGTCTTTGTGAAGTAGGTGGAGTCTGAATTGAAGCTCACAATGGACATAGGTAGCTAGGTAGACCAGAGCGTATACATTAGCCAGGACAAAGCGAGGCAATATCCTCTTAATGGTTCACTCCCCAAGCCAGGGTCTGTTGGGGTCAAAGGGCATTGTGAGCACTGAGGGCTTGGTCCCTGTGCTCATGGTGCATACTGCCCAGGATGATGTAGAAAACAGGACCCTTTGGACACACTGTCGTCTGACTGGAGTGTCCATACAGAGGTGACTGAGAACCAACTGCATCGTCGGCTTCTATCTCCTGCCAGCCATCTGTGTTTGACAAAGCACATCCCTTTGTTCCATAATGAGTAAATTATCATTGTTGCACATTTTCAAATAACTGGGTTTCTTTCTGCAGTCCTAAGATCAGGCCACGCCTGGAATCTCAGCTGTTGGGATACAGCTGTCCTGTCTCTCCTTCTTTACTCTCCTCAGCTTGACTGGTGCCCAAAGCAGTGACCCCACATCTTGTATCCCTGGGCTATCTCTATCCTCTGGCAGCATCTTTGTGACATAAACATCGTGAGGAAGGGGCATCCGGTGATCTCTCTGACCACTTACTATCTGACAGTGACCTGCTCTGTCGCTTGTGCAGGTGGTGACATTGCCGGAATATTTGAAGAAGAGGTTTGGCAGCTTTCGGATCCAGCTGTTCTCCTCTTTCTTTTCCTTGGTTGTCTACATCTTCAGCAGGATCTCGGTGAGTTCTTGCACATGGAGTAGAGGCCAACCAGACATGTCCTTGGAGTGCCTCTTCCAAGGAGAGGGAGTGTCATCTCAGCAAACCGGTGGCAATGCATTCCAAGGATGTGCCCAGTTGTCTCTTTGTTATTTGTTTTGTAACGAGTGCCACCATGTGAAAACAACCTATTGGTGTACTTGCTTATTCTGGGCCTTCTCCACTTCCATTCAAATGTCCTGAGACCCTGGGTCATTTCTGGTGTGTTTACTGCAAATCCCCGCCCCCAGCCTAGGATGTGTTCTACACATATGGTACTGCATAATTGTTTTTCACTAACCAAATGACTGGTGTTTACCACAAAATATAAAAAACACACACATCGTGTCTTTATTCAACATAAGCTCAGTGAGGACGGAAATTGGACTTTATCAGTCCTTATGTCTTCTGAAGACCACAGAGTGCCTGCAGCATGGTGGGACTCCAGTCATCATTTGGGGGAACAAATGGTTGGATGAATCTCTGCTCATTTTATCCCTGACTTGGGAGGGCAGAATAATAAAGAAAAGGGTCAGCCAGGTAAATGATGTGCAGGTGATTCAAAGTCAGTGTCAGCTCAGCCAGGGGTTGACAGATCTGGTCAGTAGGCCAGGCCAGTGAGCAACTGCTTTGTATGGCCCTTGAGCTGAGACTGATTTTCATACCTAATTTAATGGGTTATAAAAACTAGAGGCAGTGTGGTATACAGTCCTCAAAACCTATAATATTGAGCTGGAGCAATAGCTCAGCGGTTAAGAGCACTGCCTGCGCTTCTAAAGGTTGTGAGTTCAAATTCCCAGCAACCACATGGTGGCTCGCAACCATCTGTAATGAGATCTGGTGCCCTCTTCTGGCCATAGACAGACATACATGCAGGCAGAACACTATCTACATAATAAATAAATAAACTTAAAAAACCTTATAATATTTATCATGTGATCTAGTATAAAAAATTTGCCAATCCCACAGCTTGTTAAAGATATGGGTTCAAGTGAATTTGGTAGTGATCTAAAAGTACACAGAATTAAAAGTCTCCAGTAATTGGAAAGACGATGCAAAAGGTTTTCCAGAACAAATGCTTCCAGAAAAAAAGGTCCATGGTCTTTTCCTAGTTGCAGAACCACATAAAACAACCTCTTTGAGCATAGACCCCATGCTGAGGCTCCAGAGCAGAGTAGGCTAGACCATGTTAACTGGGCGGTTTGGGTTAACCCAAGCCCTTGGAGGTACTAACTTTGAACTCAGAGGGCACGGAATTTGGCCTGATCTCTCCCAGTGTCCATTGGCAGTGGGATGCTGGCCAGCGGCCTTTTCTTCATGTAGCTTCCAAGACCCATTTCTTTCTAGGGTGGTGGTTGATTCTGCTGGAAATGAAGGTTCAGTTGCTAACCTTGTGCCCGTTTCAGATGGAGATCAGCTTTGGTGCCATGTTCTTGAAAATGATTTGGGACACAGATATTTACCAGACAATGCTGGTTTTGCTGACCATTACTGGCATTTATACCATCACAGGTGAGGTAGCTGTAACCACACGTGGGCTTATACTGACACAAACACTCAGTAGAGTCCAAGGAGCTACTGAAGTCTCCCAAAGTCTTTAGATCTCAGGGAGTATGACAGAGGCAGAGGTACCACTAGGGATCATATTGAGTTGGGGTAATCTCTGCAAAGAGTGATCGGTAAGTCAGCAGCGATCATGTTTATGGTGAAATGGGGCGTGACACTGTGGGTTGCCAGGTAACAGGGTGGGAACACACAAAGTGGGTGAGGGGAAAGTGAGGGATGGCCCTTGAGGAGGCTCCTGGCCAAGCCAGATGGGATCTTTTAGAAAGCCAATTCTCTGCCTAGGGTAGGGGCTCTCGCCTCTCATTGTCTGGTACTCAGTGTGGCCAGAGGTCAAGTAGAGACAACCAGGGGGACAGACAGTAGTCAGTAAGTTGCTGATGGAGATGAGGAATCTGGGTTCTTCTTCCTGGCGATATTGGGCAATGCTTGGAGACAGTTTTGTTGTTAACACTGGGCAAGGACGTAGGGAAGGTGCTATCCAGTTGTTAGAACACGGGCAATACTCATGGTGGCTTCCAGCTGAGTTTCTGGGGTGAAAGGTGTTCACATTTGACTGGGAAAATGGCCAGATATTAATCTGTCCTGAAAAGCATGGAGAGCAAGGAAAAATCAGGGCAGAGAAAGTCAAAACACTCCACTGCTTTGATGTGTCTCCTGCACGTGAACATATAAAGAATGAACAAACACACTTGAAATAAGTGAACATGTATTAACATGTTAGCAATCCATAACTGCACTTTTATGGCATCCTGAAAGTCTACTTATAGACACAGAGCAGTGTGTTTTCTTAAACAGTATCGCGCTTTTAACTTTAGAATTTACTTCATTGTTATTAGCTGAAGTTTCATTGGCTCAACCTATAAAAGCCCGTGAAGGACTGTAAAGAGAGAAAACACTTTATGTTAGACAAAGCAAGTGTAAATGGATGAGAAATCTGAAAGGAGGACCAGTGTAGGCAGGGCATGCAGAGCTGGTGACTCGGGGGAGGGAGGAGGGCATACAGGGCTGATGATGTGGGGGGTGATGTAAGAAATCCATGTTGCTTTCCTTTCCTTTCTTCTTCCTTCAGGTGGCCTGACGACTGTGGCTTATGTTGAGACCTTACAAGCTGGTATTATGCTTCTGGGCTCAGTCTTGTTAATGATTTATGGTAAGTAAGTGGGCCACAGAAGTGGTATCTTTGAACCTAGGGTTACATAGGGACATCAGCTGCATCATCTTACAGAAGCCAAGAGCATGGTTGAAGGTCATGCTGTAAATTCTAAAGGCAACCTTACTGTTAAGTATTTTCTAAAGATGCCAAACCTCTCCATCAACGCAGATAATCCCAATCAGACCAAATTAAACCTAATTAAAAGATGCCCATGTTTAATGGAGTGCTCCTGGGTGGCCCCAGGAAAACATGGAGAGGGGAAGAGAGAAGGGGAGACCACATGAAATCCGGAGACCACGCATTCATTCTCTGGGGGACAGTTTAAATAGCCTGTGGGGGTAGTCTCCACCTTCTCTGGGGAGAGGTTACCATTTGACGGGCTTCTTTGACCCTCCCTGGGGAGGGGTCACTGTTTGGCAGGCTTTCTTGGAGGTGGAGTTTGGACTGAGGCAACTTCCAGAGGAGGGAACTTATGCCTTATACAAACAATCCGGACTTTTTGTATTAAAGGGGTGTTAGGGAGCTGAGGTGATGCTTCCAACCAACCAACCAACCAACCAACCAACCAACCAACCAACCAACCATTCACTGCCCGCCAGAGGAGCTCGTGATAAAATGCTGGTGAAAGACTCCAATGCTAGGGTCCAGGGTGCTCCTCTCCAGCCTGTGTGTTGTCTTTGCTCTGCAGTTGCTCTCCCTTTAGTTTGCCTACTCAGATCTGTCTGACAAGGTCAGCAGAAGGTCTGTTCCAAGCAGTGAGAGTCTACACCCTCAATCAGCACTGCACAGCCGTCCAGATTGTAGCATAAATCTCAATGACTGTGTCACCAGCAAACCAGACACGCCCCTTCCAAAAGTTCTGCCATCACCCAAAGCAGCCTTTACAGAAGGTACAGCCTGGAGAAGTAAGTGTCTGCTGCAAAACTAATTATGAGTAGGAATGTCTGGATTCTGCTCGCAGCCAGCAAACAGCCTATCTGAAAAAAAATGCAGCTACCAAAAAGTTCCAGTTGACTCTTATTTTTATGGGTCTAGATAGATAATGGAACCCAAACGACTGGGCCTAACCCATGGCCCACTACACACTTCAGTCTGGTTGCTTGTCCACCCACTCAGGGTCAAGAGGAAAGGAACTGAGAGCAGGGCTGTGTAGCTCAGCCCTCCTCACCTGGGAAAGTGGCAGGATCAGGTCTGCTAGTCATGCACAGGCAGGAAAGAAAGATTCCCGCTGCCATGCACAGAGGACACGCGAATAATGAGGAGTCTCGTCAGTGTAATACTGTGAACTTCTCAAAAAGGAGTGGGAATGCCTGGACCCTGCTTGCAACCAGCAAACAGAGCTTATCGGAAAGAATGAGGCTACCAAGAAGCTCCAATTGACTCCTGTGTTTGTGAGTCTAGACCTTTTTATTTAGCCAGAAAAGGGGAGATGGTGTGGGATTGCCCTCTGTATGCTGTGAATGTTTTATTACCACTGGTTAATAAAGATGCTACTGTGGCCTATGGCAGGGCAGATTAGAGCTAGAATGGGAAAACTAAACTGAATGCAGGGATAAAGAAGGCTGAGTCAGGGAGACGCCATGTTGTTGCCAAAGGAGAAAGATGCCAGAACCTTACCAGTAATCAATAGACTTGTGGCAATACACAGATTAATAGAAATGGGTTAATTTAAGATGCAACAGCTAGCTAGAAGTACGCCTGGACCATCAGCCAAACAGTGTTGTTATTAATATAGTTTTTGCGTGATTATTCAGGTCTGGGTGACCAGGAACCAAAAAAGCAGTCTCTGCTTACAGTTTACTAAATGAGAGTGGAAATACTAACTGATGTGTAGGGTGCAGAGTGAAGGTGTCAGGCATCCTCATTTTACCCCAGCCTTGGGTAGCAGACAATAAACATTTCACTATGTGTAGAAGGAGCAGCGGGCTGCTTTTCATCCCGCCCAGCTAATGGCCGCCTGGCTAGCTTTACCCCCGAAATAATTACATGGAAACTGTATTCTTTTAAACACTGCCTAGCCCATTATGTCTCTAGCCTCTTACTGGCTAACTCTCACATCTTGATTAACCCATTTCTATTAATGTGTGTAGCATCACGAGGTGGTGGCTTATCGGGAAGATTTTAACCTACATCCATTTTGGGCCAGAGCTTCATGGTGTCTGCCTGACTCTGCATCTTTCTCCCAGCATCCTGTTCTGTCTACTCCGCCTGTCGAAACTGCTGTCCTATCAAAAGCCAAGGCAGTTTCTTTATTAACCAATGAAAGCAACACACAGACAGATGACCCTCCTACATCAACTATGTAATATCAGCTGTAAGTTGTTTGCAGATACATGGCCTTTTACAGTCTTATTGTTCCTACTTTGCTCGTGCTGTTTATTGTGAGTGACCTTTGAGTTGTAACAAGTCTCCCTCTCCCCCATACCTACCGAGATGGTTTTTTTCTTCTTCTCTGGTTTTCATGGTAACACTGTGAACGGCATTGATCTGGTTTAGAATGTTAGTTCAGCCTCACATTCATGGAATGAGCACAGCTTAGATAAGATAGACAGCCCAAATACCTGTACTAACTCACAATCTCAGTGCTGTATGGTAACTGTATTTTTTTTAAAGATTTATTTATGATATATATGGTGTTCTGCCTGCATGTATGCCTGCATGCCAGAAGAATGCACCAGATCTCATTACAGATTGTTGTGAGCCACCATGTGGTTGCTTGGAATTGAACCTAGGTCCTCTGAAAAAACAGTTAATGCTCTTAACCTCAGAGCCATCTCTCCAGCCCCTGTGTCTGTATTTCTTAACCCTGCTCCAGCCAGTGAGTGACACTGAAGATTTTGCTTATCTGATAGGCTAAAAAAGTCTCATTTCTCAGTATTTTACCTTTTTGTCTCTAGATATGGTAAGATGGAACACTTTTCAGTTAATTCAGTTTCCTTTTTTTAATGAATTACTTGTTTGTGATGCTTCCTCTATTTCTTCCCAGAGCTTTTTTCTGGCACTGATGTATAGGGTGCTGAAGGAGTGAAGTGAATTTGTTCTTTCAGGCTAAGAGCAGCGGGTTCTGTGCAGTATGTGTGCACACGCTGGGTGTAGGGAGAGTGTCTGGATCTGCTCTAGTGCTTCTGCTCTTTTTCCTCGAGGTAGGATTCCCAACTCTGACTCCCCCTACCCAGCTATCTAGATAGCAAGCCCCAGATTCTCTCATCTACACTCCTTACAGTGCTATGGTCATACCTGGCTTCTACAACTTCTGTTTATTATTTTGTTTTGGAGAATTTCATGTATGATACCGTATTTCATCATTCCCTCCTCCTTTCTCTCCCTCTTCCTCCCACTGGGTCCCCTGCCATGTCTTTTCAAGTTCATGCCTCTTCTTCTTCATTATCCTTACATGTGTGCACCTGTAAATGCATAAGCATATGAGTGTTGTCATGTGCACATGTGTTTAAGGCTGACTGATAGAACTGGATAGCCTACCAGGGGACTTGTGCTTGGAGTAGACCGATTCTCCCTCTCTCAGCATCCATTAATTGCTTGTAGCCCTTCATCTAGAGGTGGGACTTTGACCTTTGAAATTGAAAAGTCAAACACAACTGAGAAATGAGATTATCTTTTAGTTTATTAGATGACCAAAACTATAAAATTCTTTTTTATTTTTGGTTTACCTTTTTTAGAGACAGGGTTCTCTGTAGCTTTGGAGTCTGTTCTGGAACTCACTCTGTAGATCAGGCTGCCCTCGAACTCACAGAGATCTGCCTGCCTCTGCCTCTCAAGTGCTGGATTAAAGGCGTGCGCCACCACCGCCTGTCTGAAGACATCAAGCACTGGCTGGAGCAGGGTTAGGAAGTAAATCAGTCTCCTTCCTACACCCTCACAGGTGTGCTAACTGGTGTTGTCGTTACGCAGGTTTTGTTAGGTGGCCACACTGCTGAAATTTCATGGGTGGGTGCGGCTAACGTCCTTTCCATATGCAGGAGACATTGTCTCACAGAAGATGTTTGGGACTTTGGGCTCTTTCAATCTTTTCCTGAGATGTTCCTTGAGCCTTCTGTTTAGGGGTCACCCATAGGTGTGTCTATTGGGAGTACAGACTGTAAGACCCTCATTCCTTATTCTCAAAGGAACAAGAAGGAATTTCCTAGCAGAGTGTTTTAAAATCAAAAACCCCAGACTAGCTTCATGTTCCCAGAAAAGACAGTGCCCCCCACCCCCTACTTGGGAAATTCCAAAGCACAAGGACGCCCCGGCCACCTAGTGGAGACTGATAAAGATGTCCTGACTCAGGACTGGGTGACCTTGCTCTGAAAACAAAAAACAAGCTGACAAAACAGGATGGGAAAGAGCATAGACCTTGCACCCGTGCCACCCCCCCCCAATGGCCCTGAAGGGCTTGTAGTTTTTACCTTTAGAAAGCTGACCCCACAGAGGGACTCTAAGTCCTCCCTACCTTGCTATGACTAGTGTGAGGGCTGGTGACGAGTTCCGTGCTAGCTAGCTTGAATTAGCTTACAATAACAATAAGCCTTGCTTGTTGCAGTCTGGACTTCTCAGGTTTTTGGTGGTCTCTCTGGGGGTCGTAATCTGGGCACAACACAGACAATGTCCTTGCACCCACAGATTGCCAGAGAAATCACAAATGTTAAGCACACAGGTTTGTCTTTCCTTTGGGAAACATGAAAAACCTGTTCTTCCATCTGGAAATCTGAGAATTGGGAGCGGTAAGCAGCCTGGTGATTGGGCCAGGCCATATCAAGCTCCTCCAATCAGGACTGGAGGTGGCTGATGATCTAAATGACCCTTATAGCCAGAGGCTCCCCTAAACTCCCTCAGAGTTCTGTGGTAAATAGTCCGAATGACCTCTACGTTATTTGTGAGGTGAGGCCAGGCCAGACCCTTAGGCCCATAAGCTAGTATAGGCAGCCTATCTCTAGATCCCGTCTTCCTGGAGAAAATGACTGTACTCTGAGTTGAGTTTCAATGTAATTCTACTTTCT